CTTCCCAGGGCTACCAAGGGTAAAGACTATGCCCATATGCCCCTTGCTCCCTGGGTGCTTCCCAGAACTCCCAGCACAGAAAGCATGAACTGAGAAGCCCAGAAGTCATGAAATTTAGTATCCCTGGGGTATTGTCCCTGATAGAACATTCAGCATCTGCTTGGATGTCCCCAGGAAAGGATATGCCACCACCTCACGAAAGAAAGCCTTTTAGGTTTATAGTCACTAATATACTTGAATGTGTCCTACCCCAAGCCTGCAAAAGCAGTCCTTACACCTTCTAGTTTGTCCCTCCCAAGACAGAATTTAGGATCTTTGTTCCATGTGTGTACTATCCACTTGGAGCCTTCTGCCTGGCTATCTGCCCCTCCTTTGTGCCTGTGAACATAGCATGAGGAAACCAAGTTCTACTGTTGGGCAAAACCACATGGCTCCTTTCTGCTGTGAGAAAAACCTTAGAATGCTTCAACCACAGGATGTCAGAGCCTGTCCCCTCAGCAGGCAAAGGCTCAGAGACAGAAAAGGCAAAGGAGGGCTCTGAGCCACAGTGGGGGTGGGGATAGGGGGGGTCTGTCTGTGATCATTCAGCCCCGAAATGACGCTCATAATGATGCCTTTCCAGGCCATTAATTCAAGGGCTCCAGGCCCCCTCCCCCATGCCACTGCCTGCTCTGGGAGATAAGCCCAGTCCTATTTAACCCTACCTCTTCCCCCAAAGTGGCTTCCATCTCTGCTGGGCAGACATTTAACTCCCTGGATTCTGAAAAGCTTCAGTGACCGATGGTGTGCACACGTCAGGAGAGGAGACACACTTTGCCCAGCCCCCAGAATCCTGATCTGTAGTCCCTGAAGCTATAGGCTTTGATGGAGCCCTGGGAGCTCCTATCTATACTCTGCCAGGAAGTCCCGGATCCCCCAAGGCCGCAGGACCCCATGGTGGCCCTGGAACAAGGTGCCATTCCTAGACAGGACAGCTACAGCCTCAGCTCCCTCCTCACAAGCCCTACCTTCCCATTTCTTAGTCCCAGGATTTGGGGATCAGAGGGAAACTGCGGTACCTCTGCCCCTTGGGTGTCCTGCTGGCTAGTTGCTCTGCCTGGCAATCTCTTTCCCTTCGTGTTTCTTTTTGTCTTCCCGGCCCTCTCCTCCTTTGTTCTCAATTCTTTATAATCAGTGAACATGTAAAAATGAATCATGTGTCTCTCTGTGTGTTCATGTCCTCATATCTGAGAGCCTGCCTGTGTATGATTCTTCATGTTTGTATCTATCCTGTGTTGACATGTGTTTAAGCCTGTTATCTGCTTATGAGAATGACTCCTCCGTGTCTGGTTTCTTTGTATGGGGCCAGTCTTGGTACAAATCCTTGCATTGTCTATATGCTGGTCTGTCCTTAATCTGTATGTAGTTCTGTCAATTGCTCTGTCCATCTGTATGAGTCTCCCAATGTACTTAAATCTGTAGGTTGGTCCTTATTTCTCCATGTCTATGTCACTTGGTTTGTCATTGTGTGTGTGTGTGTGTGTGTGTGTGTGTGTGTGTGTGTTTGTGTGTGTGAGAGAGAGACAGACAGAGAGAGAGAGAGAGAGAGAGAGAGAGAGCTTGTATGTGTAAACGCTGTGTTTCTAAGGGTCATAGCCCATGCAGAGACCTCTCATAGTGGGGGCCCAAGAGAAGCCATGCAAAAGAATCTGGAGTTGGATGGCTTCACTGAAGCACAGCCCAACTCATCATCAGCTGGCTCAGTCCCAGGTTCTCCACCCTCTATCTGACCACCATTCCCTTATCCCCAGACCAGCTCAGAACTGGAAGGGCAGAGACAGGTAGGGTTAAGACAAAAAGTGTTCTAGCCCAATTTGCTCAGACTTAGACCCAGTCAGGGACTTTTTGTCTGTACACCTGCCCCCCCCCCCAACAGTAATAATAACTAGCAATGAGGTTCAGTAACAACAACATCAGTGACAATGGCTTCCACATAGATACAAAAGCAAACATTAAGTATTTTGTATTGTCTGAATAAAGATAAGAGGCTGTTCTCACACAGTAGGGATGAGAAAATGAGAATAAGAGGAATCAGGGAGGTAGTCCAACACCCTAGAGCTGGGATACGATGAAGCAGGATCACCCTGTAAGTGGCAGGCTTCTTAGGCGCTTGCCACAGCCACTTCCAGCCTGGGGAGAGGCACTTAACTGCAAGCAGCAGGGAAAGGAGGTCCTTCCCAAGCACTGCTCACAGCTCACTTTATCCAGAAGAACCAACATCTGATTTTGGGATTTCATCTCTCTGGGCAATGACGGATCAAAGACCAAACAAGAACTGGAGGTTTACATAGGGAAGGTTCTCTGGGGAAAATCATCTAGCTCCCTGGGCTCTAAGCTGGCTTTCTCTTGGATTCTGGATGACCTTGAGCAGGACACTTCATTGTATTGCAAGCATGAAGGTTTGCTTATCTGTAAAATTATGGATGAATACAGGTTCTGTTAGGATCTTTGAAGATGGAGGGATCAAGTACTCCCTCAAAATTAGGTCTAAGAGCTGAGAGTTGGGGTGAGGGGTGCAAGTGGGGACCACACTTGTTCTGGTAATTCCAACAGAATAGCCAGGCACAGTATGGGTGCTAAAAAGGCGCACTGAATGAATGAATAAATAAATAGCCCCATTTCTCATTGATGAAAGAACTGTACAGCCCACTCTGGTCCTATAACCAAAAATCACTGCAAGGAAAATGAAAGGGGAGGCAAGTGCTTTGGACTTGCGTGTCAAGGAAGGCATCCAGGGCTATCGTAAAGTGTGTGTTGAGAGGCACAAGAGGTCACTGCAAAGGCACTAGGTTCCTCTGCCTGCATAAGGTCAGGTGGACCAGAAGAAGTCCTCCAGGAAGAAGGGGCAGGGGAGGGATGGAAACCCTAGTCTGGAGGAAACTATAGGGCAAACCTCTAGGCTGGAGGGTCCCTTCAGTTCAAAGCTGTTTTTTGGAAGAGAGGATGCCTGTGCATACTACTTACCGGGAAGGAATCTCTGTCCTGTCTCTGCTTCTATCAAGTGTCTGCAGGTGACCAGAATTCACCATGCTAGGGGAAAGGACTTTGATCTTAATTTGGCAGGAGGTGGTTTTTTTTTCTTTTTCTTTTTTCTTTTTTTCCAGTGGTCACGTGAGGGAAGGGGCGCGAGAGGAGGGATGAAGCGCACTGGTCGGGTGAATGGAGGGCCCCTACCTGGGATGGAGATCTCTTCCAGAGACTGGAAGGTACTTGAGTTGAAGGGGGAGGGGCTAAGAGTAGCCGGTCTAGTCTGGGCAGCTCCTACTCACTGGTCAAAGCCCTCAGGCCGCCCTACTTGTGCGCTGACCTGGGCTAATTTAAAAATACTGCAGGGGAGGGAAGAGACTGGGGTTCCCACGAAGAACGAGTCTCCAGAGGGAACATGAAGGGTGGGAGTCATTATCATTTCTTTCAGTTTTCCTTGGCCCAGTGACAACGCTACTTCTTTATCTAGGCTAAGACTGCTGCGGGTCCCATCCCGCGGTTTATTGCTCAGGAGTTAGAGAAAGAACCTAGCTGAGGACATAGGCAGGGACTCGCACGAAGCAGCCTCAGCCGACAAGCATCTCATGGAGACTACAAAGGGGCTTATGCCAGTACACACGCAGGCAACTCCATTCAGGAACACCAGCTCCGCTCTGACTCCACTGCCCACAAAACAACACACGGAATACACACGGTTACCAAACCTCACGCTCAGAGTTCACACAGCGCCGACCCACAACGGTATCTGATGCGATGTCTTTGTTTCTGGATCTCTTTGGTCTTCGTGCTCGCACACATACGCAAGACACTCAACAGAAACATCCAAGCTCTCACAGTTCAGGGGGCGGTGATCTGAGCCTGGCCGAGCGCACCCGTGTATCTGCGCCCTGTTCGCAGGGCCGTAAGCCTGCCCTTCCTCCATCCTGCGTTTCTCCGCATAAGCATTCACTACCGAGAGGCATCCTCGGAGTCCTGTTCCTTCCAAGCCTCCATATGAAAAGAGAGAGAGAGAGAGAAAAAGCGAACTACCAGCCTCCACTTGGTGCGCATCTGGAGAGCAGTGGGTGGCGAACTACCCGCTTCCATCGTGGCATCCCTGGACGGCAGAAACAGCTTAGGTGATCCAGTCCAGGACTGAACGTCTTTAAAAGTGATCCAAGACAGTCACTTCTGTCACCAAAATGGACTTGTGATGAGATATAAGAGCGAATAATAGATGGCAGGGAGACAGACGCCTGCCCGCCTCCGCTAAAGACCCGCAACTGGCAACTGCCCTGATGGCTATCCGGATGTCAAGCCAGAAGTTCTGGAGCCGCACAGCTTGGGCACTCTGGAAGGCTGGGCTGGGGGTGGAGGACCTCGAGAACCAGCCCAATCTTAACTCCTCCCTCCTTGAGGCCGCGGCGAGGTGGGGCGGGCCAGGATGCCCGCTTAGCACCTCCTCCAGAAATGCAGCACTTGGGGGGCCCCCCACCCAGGCCTCCGTGCGCTTCTTCCCGCGGCCTTCCCAAGGGTGCCCCTTCCAGCCCCTGTGGCACTTCTGGAACCTTCCGTGCCCCCTTTCCCTCCTCCGGTCTCCCACCTCGCGCCCCCTGGCTTGGGCAGCATCCCCTTTCCGCCCTCCGCCCACGCACCGCCTGACTCCGAGGGGTGCGAGCGCATTGGGCTGCGCCCGCGTGGGGGCGCCGCGCCAGCCTCGCGTAGCTGCTCTGACGCCGCCGTCGCCGCCGCCCTCCGCAGCCCAGCCGGCACCCGCGCCAGCTCTGCAGAGCACTCGTCGCCTCTCGGGCCGGTCCCACCGAGAGCCAGCCCATCACGCCCGGAGCTAGCCTCGAACGCTGGGCGCGAGGGTCATGAACCAGAGTGCCCCGGGGCGACGCGCCAAGAGCCAGCGGAGATAGCGGCCCTCGCTGCCTTGACACGCGCTCGCCGCGTCCCCAGACCCTTCTGTCCTTCTCTCCTGCCCCGCCGCCGCCATGGCCACCCTGCTCCGCAGCAAGCTGACCAATGTGGCCACGTCCGTGTCCAACAAGTCCCAGGCCAAGGTGAGCGGCATGTTTGCCAGGATGGGGTTTCAGGCGGCCACGGATGAGGAGGCGGTGGGCTTCGCGCACTGCGACGACCTCGACTTTGAGCATCGCCAGGGCCTGCAGATGGACATCCTGAAGTCGGAAGGCGAGCCCTGCGGAGATGAGGGCGCCGAACCGCCCGTCGAAGGAGACATCCATTACCAGCGCGGCGGCGCTCCTCTGCCACCGTCTGGCTCCAAGGACCAGGCCGTGGGAGCTGGTGGCGAGTTCGGGGGTCACGACAAGCCCAAGATCACGGCGTGGGAGGCGGGCTGGAACGTGACAAACGCCATTCAGGTGAGCGCGGGATTCCCAGCTCTGACTGTCACCACCCCCACCTGAGTTGTGATTGCAGGCTCTGCCCCCACACGAACCCTGCAGAGGTCTCGGCTTCAGTGCCCCCTCCCCCCAGGACTCGGGGAATTTATCTCCCCTTCTCCGACCTTCCTAGCTGTGTGGGGATCTACGCCCCCAGGTGGTGTCCTGTTCAGATCCACATAGCTTCCTCTTACTGTCCCTGCTGCAGGACAGCCTGGCTGAGGTTTGGGGAGAAAGACAAAAACCCAGAGACCCTGCAAAAGCTGGAGAAATGGGGAAGGGCTGGGGGGGGGGGGGAGGGAGAAAGAAAACCAGGATACGAAGGGAGTTTGCCTTGGGCTCCGGAATGGAGTCACAGCTGCATTTTCCAGAGGAGAGGGGGGAAACAGCTGAGCTGGGAGTCTCCTTCCTCCTCCCGACACACGCAGAAATCGTGCACACGTACAGAGGCAGGCACGCACCCTCAGCCCCTTTCCCCACGAACAAACAGGCACATGACATGCATCTATTTACAGTCCGCAGGGTTACCCCAGATGCACTTGCCTACACCCCAAAACGCTCCCCAGTCTCCCCAGTAGCAGCAATACTTTTACACAGCAAGTAACCATATACTAGTTTGATCATAAGGCGTGCACTCACTCGTAAGGCAGACAGCACCCACTTGGCTCGAGCAGCCTTGTTGGAGACAAACAGGCTAGCACATAGGTACACTTATGGTCAGAGGGACTCCGCGCTACGCAGCTGCGCAGACTAGCTCCTCTCACCCAAAATCCCGGCTGCACCGCAGAAGCCCGAACGCCTCCTCCACAAGCGGCCAAGCAGCTCCAGAGGCTGAAAACTGCCCTAGACCGCCAAATTTGCCACCCATGACATCTAGTCCCAACCCCCTACCCCAGTCCCATTCTCATCAGGGGCGCGGAACTCCTCCGTGGAAAGATTTGGATATCAAAACGACCCTGGGAGCTGGCAGGGGTTGATGGGCCCCAACTTCTGGGAGGGAGGAGGCCTCGATTCAGGGAGCTCCTGGGTTCTGTGTCTTGGCTCCCTAGCATCTCTGGAGTGTTGAGTCGTTGAGACGGAGAATGTAGGCTTCTTAGGAGTGGAAAGCTGGGTTTCCCTGGACCCTGGACTCAGAGGGACAACTAGGTGTCTCTACCGGTGGCACTTCCCACTACAGCGAAAGGAGATTGACAGAATACAGGACAGGGTCGGTGTCCATCCGCTGGATGCTTCTCCCTGGGTCTTTCAAGGTTCCGTTCTATAGCAAAGAGAAAGGTAGGCTGGAGGTGCGCAGGCCTCGGGAATCTTATATTTCGTTATCTTTTCTTCTCTGTGTAAATTATAAACGACATTACACAGCTTTGGCCCTTCCATCACAATGGGTTCTAGAAACCTACTGGCTTTGACTTCCCGCAGAGGCCGGACTTCCTGGGTTGGAAGGGTCCCTATTCTGATGCCCTCACCAGATCCCTCCTAATACCCTTCTTAGGGCTTGCCCCTGTCACAACTCCAGCCTGTCCTAGGATTTATTTCCAAGCCCGTATCCCCATCATCCTCTGTGTTCCCTAAAGCCCTGTGCCCACCCAAAGTGTCTACGTATGTCTTCCTTTCTGGCTTCCTTCCGCTTTCAGCCCAGTCCTCTATTCGACCACCACTCCTCTGGTTTGACCCCCGAGACTCTCATATTTCCCTCGTTAATGAGCACCCCATTCCAAGCCACCTTACATCAGGTGCCCAGCTCTCCCGAACTTTTCAAAGGGCCCTTCTGGGACCAAGCTTCTTCGAGTCCCTGCTTTCCACCCCTGCTTCTGATTGCACCCCCAGGAACCATCTGCGAGGGTCTCTATATTCCCCTCTACACCTCAGCCTCCTTCATTCTCCCCAAGCTCTGGTCTTCCTTCTGATTTAACACTCACATTCTGCATTAGGGTCCCTGTCACAAGGATTCATCCCCCACCCTCTCCTCCTGGTGGCCGAGGCGTAAGTCCTCCCCTAGCGCCCCCTAGCGATAGTTTTGGGCTGTAACCCCCGCCCCCCATGGTCCTCTTCCATGGCAGTGTCCGCTGAGCTCCTGGGTCTGGTTGCCTCTTTGCACCACAGGGCATGTTTGTGCTGGGCCTACCCTACGCCATCCTCCACGGCGGCTACCTGGGGTTGTTCCTCATCATCTTCGCCGCAGTGGTGTGTTGCTACACCGGCAAGATCCTCATCGCATGTTTGTACGAGGAGAACGAAGACGGCGAGGTGGTGCGCGTGCGGGACTCTTATGTGGCCATAGCCAACGCGTGCTGCGCTCCTCGCTTCCCCACGCTGGGTGGCCGCGTGGTTAATGTGGCGCAGATCATCGAGCTGGTGATGACGTGCATCTTGTACGTGGTGGTGAGCGGCAACCTCATGTACAATAGCTTCCCGGGGCTGCCCGTGTCTCAAAAGTCCTGGTCCATCATCGCCACGGCGGTGCTGCTGCCCTGCGCCTTCCTGAAGAACCTCAAGGCGGTGTCTAAGTTCAGTCTGCTGTGCACACTGGCCCACTTCGTCATCAACATCCTGGTCATCGCTTACTGTCTCTCTCGTGCGCGTGACTGGGCCTGGGAGAAGGTGAAGTTCTACATCGACGTCAAGAAATTCCCCATCTCCATCGGCATCATCGTGTTCAGCTACACGTCGCAGATCTTCCTGCCCTCGCTCGAAGGCAACATGCAACAGCCCAGCGAATTCCACTGCATGATGAACTGGACGCACATCGCCGCCTGCGTGCTCAAGGGCCTCTTCGCGCTCGTCGCCTACCTCACCTGGGCCGACGAGACCAAGGAGGTCATCACGGATAACCTGCCCGGCTCCATCCGCGCCGTGGTCAATCTCTTCCTGGTGGCCAAGGCGCTGCTGTCCTACCCGTTGCCCTTCTTCGCGGCTGTCGAAGTGCTGGAGAAGTCTCTCTTCCAGGAAGGCAGCCGCGCCTTCTTCCCTGCCTGCTACGGAGGCGACGGTCGCCTCAAGTCGTGGGGGCTGACGCTGCGCTGCGCGCTGGTGGTCTTCACGCTGCTCATGGCCATCTACGTGCCGCACTTCGCGCTGCTCATGGGCCTCACGGGCAGTCTCACCGGCGCCGGCCTCTGCTTCCTGCTGCCCAGCCTCTTCCACCTGCGCCTGCTCTGGCGCAAGCTGCTGTGGCACCAGGTCTTCTTCGATGTGGCCATCTTCGTCATCGGAGGCATCTGCAGCGTGTCCGGCTTCGTGCACTCCCTCGAGGGCCTCATCGAGGCCTACCGAACCAACGCAGAGGACTAGGGTACGGGGGCCCCTGCCCCCAGCTCCCGCCCCGCCCCGCCCCGCCCACCTCCCTCGC